TTTGGGGGCCCTATTTGAATGGGCCTTTTCTGTATATGGGGATGGGGTCTTTCTCTCCACAAGGAGGTAACACAGGATATACAGCCCCCCGGGGTGTCCTGTCCCCTTCTTGGGGTGTCCATTTGACTGGGGTGAGGCCAACCAGGCAGGTGGGTGGGGGACCAGCCCCTCTCTGCAGCTGGGGCCCTGGTGGGCCAGGAGCCAGCAGCCGGACTGATGAAGGGTGCTGTCGTCAGCATGGGGTGTCCCGTTTCCAGCCCAGGGCAAAAGCTAATTATACCCCCAGATCCTAAAAGGTCACAGCCTGGTAGCCTGGGTGGATGGGGCACTTGCTTGGGGTAAGGCGAAACCTGATCCCACAGACACTCAAGATTAGAGAGAGATTTTCATCTGAAATGGGAGCCCAGACTCCTGGGTCTGAGGGAGGAGGGGCTGCGTCTCCTGGGTCTGAGGGAGGAGGGGCTGCGTCTCCTGGGTCTGAGGGAGGAGGGGCCGGGACCCCCGGGTCTGAAGGAGAAGGGGCCGGGACCCCCGGGTCTGAGGGAGGAGGGGCCGCGTCTCCCGGGTCTGAGGGAGGAGGGGCCGGGACCCCCGGGTCTGAGGGAGGGAGGAGGGGCCGGGACCCCCGGGTCTGAGGGAGGAGGGGCCGGGACCCCCGGGTCTGAGGGAGGGGGCTGGGGGCCCCGACTCCTGGGACCTGAGGGGGCAGTAGCATGAGATCAGCTGTCTCTTTCTTCCCCCTCACAGCAGCCAAAAAGGCCCCCCAAAGCAAAGATGCCCCCAAACAAGCTGCCAAGGAGGCCCCTAAAGAAAGTCCCCCTAAGGAGGCTTCTGCAGAGCCCCCCAAAGGTGAGGCCGGTGTTTCCTCGGGCTCCGCTGAAGTTGGCATCCTCCCCGCTCTTCCGTTCCCTTCACGCCTGGGCGCAGCCTCCTCCCAGCCTGTGGCCTCCCCACTCCAGTCCCTACGAGACCCCGGAGCTGACGCTGCCCCTCCCCTGCCCGGGCCTCTCAGGGCTCCCCAGGCCCCTGGACTCGAGCCCAGCTTCTCAGCCTCACCACAGGCTGGCTGGTCAAGTCCTGCCGTGAACATCCCAGGCCGGACACGGAGACTGGGCTCTCCTACCCCGAAGGCCCACTCAAGACCATCCGGCCCACGGTTCTTCAGCTCATAGACGGGATAACCGAGGCCCAGCTGGGGCCTGGGCGGGGAGCCTGGCCGAGGTCACGCAGCCGCCTGGGGCTCCCTGGTCTTTCCTCGGTCAGCGGAAGCCACTTCTGTCCCCTGGTCTTTGACTTCAAGCCCTAAGCCGCTTTCCCACTTGGGCTTGCTGCCCGGCACCTGGCCTGTCTCTGACCCTGACTCCTGTCTCCTGAGCAGAAGCCCCGCCCGAGGAGCCGTCCCCCACTGCTGAGGCGCCCACGGGGGTGTTTCTGAAGAAGCCGGACACGGTGTCGGTGGAGACAGGTGAGGGGACCTGGGGGGATTGGGCTGA